AAAAATAGGGACCAATGACCAAGCGTCGGGGACATTATATAAACCCTCACACATGTGAGGGCCAGGTATCCAATATTTAAACCTTAAACCCTAATATTTTGCTTGTATCTCTTTGCACCCATTCTTACTTGATCGTCAGAGTTCCTTGCAGGTACACCCTCCCCCCTTATCCTCAACTTTCCAGCAATTCAGATATCATCCTTCAACCAATTTGCAGGTTCTGATCAACTAGTAAGATCAATGGCGCCATCCTGGGAAAGCATCTTCCCCGTCTTCTTTTCCTGTAAACCGAAGACCAAAGATACCTTAAATTCTTCAACCATGGACGACCATGATGATCATCACCTCTCTCGAAAGATTGTACTCTCCTCGATCCACAAGACTGACGGAATCCAGAAGCATCCTCACCTCGAGGATGACTTTGACATCAGAGACGGACATATTGCGTCCCCAAATTCAGTCGATGTCCAGCGTGATGACCATCAGTTCTTGGACAAGCAACGTCCCAAGAACCCTACCGAGGAACTCCCAGAGATTCTGAAACCAGTTCCCATTCCTTAGAATACCGAAAAAGGAAAGTTGAAAAAGGAAATAAATGATGAGTTTGTAAGTTCGACCCTTTACAAACAAATCATTGGATCCTTGAGATATCTTTGCAATACTAGACAAGATATCTGTCAAAGTGTAGGATTGTTGAGTAGATTTATGGAGAAATCATAAGAGTGTCATCTCATCACAGTAAAGAGGGTGTTGAGATGCATAAAGGGAATAATTGATCATGATGTGTTGTTACCAAAGAAGTCGAAGAACATCACATATGTCAAAGTTCATGGATACAATGATTCTAATTTTAGTGGAGATCAAGATGAAAAGAAAAGTATTGCAGACTACATTTTCATGACTGAAGGTGCTCCAATCTCTTGGAGTTTTAGGAAGCAAAGCATTGTGCTTTGTCATCATGCGAAGTATAATATGTGGCTGCATCATATGCTGCATGCCAAGAAGCATGGATCAAAATGTTACTTGAAGAACTCAGGATAATGGAACCTAAGAAGATGAAGTTGTTTGTCGACAACAAGTCAGCTATTAACCTGGTGAATCACCCAGTGTGTCATGGTCGAAGTAAGCACATAGAAAGTAGGTATCATTTTCTGAGGGATCAAGTCAACAAAGGGAAGCTGGAGATAAAGCATTGCAAGATAGAAGTGCAACTAGCTGACATATTTACCAAACCTCTAAAAAAAGTCAGATTCGACGAGTTAAAGAGAAGCATCAAGATGAGAAGTCTCGAGAGCATGAATTAGGGTGTGTGTTAAAAGTATAACTATTGTTATGTTGAAATGCATGTGTATGGTGTATGTCAAATAGCTTATTGTATAGGTTATAAGTTGTATTCGACAAAGTCGAATACAACATATATTATAGTATGTCGAAATCATGTTTTGGACTTTAGCGTGTTTTGTCTAATTGGGTTTGAGCATTATTTATCTATATAAAGGACTGTTGAGTTTGTAATCAAATGTGTAATCAATAACAGATTTTTATAATTCAGTTAGAATCACAACAAACTTTCAATATCCCTCTCTCTTTTTCTTCTTCCTCTTCCATAAATCATCTTTCTTAAAAACCCTTTGTTCCAACAATTCACAAGATGACAAATAATATGGTATTTTCAAGAATCTTTTTGATGAAATTTGAAGAAAAAATGATAGCAATGCAACTACTTCAAACATATTTGTAATGCACGACACAAACCTAAACACTCTACTAGGATTTAAGATATGAAATGCAACATTTGATAAAATGTTTGATTGATTCTATGAAAGTAATTTAGTCGGTGGACTCATGGAAGATATATTTAGGATTTTTTCTTTTCCTATTCCTTAAACATCTTAGAAATCCTTGATAATAACATAAGATAATTTTTCATTGCACCCTTATACATTCTTTCATATTTTGTACGAAATTTTCAAAATACTCATGTTTTTAGAGATATATCCGGACACACTAAATTTTATTTTTTTCCAAAATAAAATTCGGAGATGTACAACCAAAGTCATTTTAAGGGTGTGTTCAGAGATACATCTTCGAATACATCTTTTTTTCTAATTAAAAGAAAACTAGTGCGGAGATGCATCTCCGAAGTAGATGAACATATTTAAAGCTCACATTAGACTCTCTCTCTCCTCCTTGTTCATTTTTCAGAAATTCACTTTCTCTCTACCTCACTCTACCCATTTCAAGTTCTCACTCAAAGTCAAGATTTGAAACAACATTTACTTGTTTCATACCATTTCCAACTCCTTCTAATTACTGCATTCAACATTAGAGCACTTTACACCCTCGTCAACACGTTTTTGAGTAAGTTTCTTATTTATCTTATTTTGAAATTTGATTAATGTATTAGCTCAAATAGGTTAATTTAAATGCATTAGATAGCTCAAATAGGTAAGTGTTCGTGTTTGAAGACTCTGGTTATATGATTTGGATGAATTTGAATGACAATTGTTGTATTATTATAATCTTTTAGATATTCCTTTATATAATATTTGATTTTATTAACGCATTACTCGGTCTATAATATTCGTTTTTATTAATCGTTGAAATAAATAACAACAATGTTACTCGAATTAAAATTAGTTTGGATTGAAAATACCATAATGTTAGCAAATTGGTGCTGGAAAAAAGACCCAGGCAATAATTCAGAGATGCATATCCGAATTTACTATAAAATAGTTTGAATATACATCTCCAAACTTATTTCTTAAAAATATTGGGTGGTTGTTTGATTTAGTAAAGACGAAAGGTGATTTCGGAGATGTATATGCGAATTAACCCTAGAGTGAATTCAGAGGTGCATCTCCGAACTAAATTTAACTAAAAATTGATATTTGGTGCGTTCGGAGATGCATCTCTGAATTCATCCAGAGATATTTTTGAATTTTCATATGGGTGTCTCATTATACAAGGGTGCAATGAGAAATTGCCTAACAAAAAAATTCTTTGAATTCTAGAATTCAGAGCATGTTTTGAAGTCTTCGAATTTTAGAATTTAAACCAATTTAATATATTCTCATAAATAGACATTCATGTCCACCACTTCTCCTTCTTTTCAAATCTTCTTAAATCCCTCTCAAAAACACATTTTTTATTTTATAGTGATTTTCTTTCTTTCATGTCACCCAATCTTTATTGATTTAATTTAGATGGTAGAATCTAAACATAGATTTGATGCAAGTTAAAAAATTGTACAATCCGAGCAGACGACAAATCTCTCATAATGCACATTAACTTTTATGATTCATCCTGAGTGTTTCTTAAAATGGTAATTGTGAATTTGATATTGTATTAGGTTATTTGATTGGTTTGTTGAATTTCGTACCATCAGTCGTCTTAATTTTAAAATAGAGATAAATAATAATTGTGAGGATTATATTTCATTGTATATGCGAATTAACCCTAGAGTGAATTTAGAGATACATCTCCGAGCTAAATTTAAGTAAAAATTAATATTTGGTGCGTTCGGTGATACATCTCCGAATTCATCCAGAGGCATTTTCGAATTTTCAGATAGACGCCTCATTATACAAGGGTGCAATGAGAAATTGCCTAACAAAAATATTCTTTGGATTCTAGAATTCAGAGCATGTTTTGAAGTCTTCGGATTTTAGAATTCGAACCAATTTAATATATTCTCATAAATAGAAATTCATGTCCACCACTTCTCCTTCTTTTCAAATCTTCTTAAATCCCTCTCAAAAACACAATTTTTATTTTATAGTGATTTTCTATCTTTCATGTCACTCAATTTTTACTGATTTAATTTAATTTAGATGGTAGAATTCAAACATAAATTTGATGCAGTTTAAATTGTACAATCTGAGCAGACGATAAATCTCTCATAATGCACGTTAACTTTTATGGTGTTTCTTAAAATGGTAATTGTAAATTTGATATTATATTAAGTTATTTGATTGATTTGTTGAATTTCGTACCATCAGTCATCTTAATTTTAAAATAAAAATAAATAATAATTATGAAGATTATATCCAATTATTTGGAACGAAGAGTCGATTCAATCTGATCAAGTATGATATAATTTTCAAAACATGATAAATTTGAAGTTATTTAATATTCTTTTACATCCAACTGATTATTTTCATTTACTTATTATTGCTTTTA